GTCCAGAAACTTGCAGCAGTTCTCCATGTTAGCATTCTATGGCATTCCCTTAACAAATCCGTCCAATTTTAGGAGAATGCATCGCGTTCTGGATACGAAATTTTCTCTTTTTTTTTATCCATTTTTACTTCCCATTTGTTTTTTAGTATTTAAACGCTAATTTTATAATTTCTCCGACTAATCCTTGCCTTTCAAAGCACTTCATTATTACTGAACCCAAATTTCGCCTCATTTTGATCGAAATCTGCACTCGATCGATAAAATTTCGCGTCTCCCGGCAAAATTTCATGCTCTTGTCAGCTTATTTTTGCCCTCCCTGCAATGGCATTTTTGCTTTTTTTTTTATTTTTTTTCATTAAATCTTTCTTTTTTCCTTTCTATTAATTCCGGTGCTTCTGGGAGGACGAAAGAGACCCCCCATCACCCGACTTGTTCTGCTTTTTCCCACTGAATTCACCACTACATCTAGCTTTTTTTTTTGTTTTTCATTTCATTTGCTTGTTGTGCTCCCGGTTTATACAAATCTTTCCTGGTAAGACGATCTTTCGCTGTTTTTTATGTCTGCTTTGATTTTAATTGTGATTGTTACAATTAAAACCGGGGCGTGATTTCTTTCAAATTCTTCCTTCTTCTCCGTAATACTTTCATTTTAGTTGAAAAGGTTTTTTTTCCCCAAGAATTATGAGAATTTGTAACTGATTTTGCGAGGATTTTTTTTTCTTGTAAGAATCTTTCCCTAGTTTAGTTACAACATTGGAAACACCAGAATTGTCCTATTTTTTAGACATACGATTATCGTTACCATCAAGAAAAGCAGTAAATGTGATTCTGTGACTTTAACTAAGCAAACAGTCAGTTTGCGCTTGAAACCGAACGATTTTTTATGAATGCTATTGAGTCGGTGCTCAATTTTTGGTGTTTCTGGCACTGGGTTTTCCTGCGTAGCCCAGATTTATCGCTTCCCCCCGTATCGTTTGTTTTTTTATCATATACCAGTAACTTCTTATTCTCCTACATAACAGCGTTCGTTTATAAAAAGGATATATTCGGAGTTGCTTCTATGGGGATTCATTCAAAGCACCGGATTTAGTCGGAAGTGACCAGTACACAGTTATAGCCGGGAGTGACCACCTGGAGTGGTCACTACACAGTAATAGCCGGCAGTGACCACTTGATTTCTGGATCCAATAAGATGATTTTGTTTAAATCTTCATATGTAGGTACTGATTGTGTTCGATTACAATGTATTCATCGAATTATATTTTGTTTTTTTTACGTATAAAGCGCAGTATCCTGTACTTGTTACTTTTCCTCCTCGGTGCACTGGTTTTCTTTGCTGCATTCATCGTATATCATCGTGCATTTCCTGTTTTTGAGCAAAATTCAACTACTGGTAGTTTTCCCCTCCTACTGTTGGCTTCCTCTGAGGCTTTCTTTGACTACCAGTTAAATTGACGTTGTTCGTGTCCTCTTTACTGCTTGTAAATGAAATGTTTTCTTGAATTTTTTTTTTGACACAAACAGCAAAACACAGAAGCATTTGAAAGGGTCATTCCGTAAAAGAGTTTTTGAAAAAAGTACACCAATTCTTTGCTTTGAAGACATTCACTAACATTCTCGTCAAAAAAGTCTTTGGAACTTTTCTCGAAAGACTTGAAGGGCTTTACTTTTCTCTTTTTCTTGGACAATAACAGCAAGCAACCATTGGAAAAAAAAGAAGCCACTTTAAAGCATAATAACACAACCGAATATGCATTTTTTTAAAGACAAAAATGCCAAAACATTTGATAGACGGAATGAAATTTGCTGCTGGAACTAAGGCAAGATGATCGGCTTTTTTTGCTTAAAACTCTGCGGAGAGGCGGCGAGGCAGGCTACGTTCGATAGTGCAGAGCTGAATGCTGCGCTACAAGCTCCTTTTATAAATCGGTGCATCTGAATATTGCGTGCGGAGATAATAATGAAACTGGCGATTAATGCAGTATTTAGTAATGTAAGTCCTCTTCATATCCAGGATATGGATAGATTCACTTTTGTTACCAAAAAGCTGCGTGAGATTCAAACTAAACATTTATTGGTCAAATCGGTAAGCAGGTAGTCTAGTTTAAACTGTAGTTTATAAGTGAGAGGGAAGTACCACGTATGAGAGGGAAGTACCACGCCTTATAGTCTAATTTTCCCCATCTCCGCGTTAAAAATTGTACAGATAACTCTTTTTTTTAATTTCCTTCTTTAGGGTTAGGGCGAACCACTGTCAGTCAGGGCCAGTGATTCGTAAAGCGGCAAAGGCCAAGCAAATATGCACACAAAATAATTATGTTCAACTCTTTGCAGAAGTGATAACGGTTTATAAAAGCATAGGCAGATGAGCTGAGGGACTAGAAAAGCCACGGGGTAAGTGCTAATACGCCTCTCCGGAAGAGAAGGGATGTCAGGAGCAGCACCAGCAGCAGCGGCCGATCATCAGATGTTATAGCTTTGATCGCAAAAGTGGAAAAATCGCGAATCAGATCAGATCGACT